TCAGTATATCAGTAGACCAATGGCCAAATCAGTAGATCTACTGATAAATCAGTAGACCTGGCAACACTGATTCCAGTTGAAGAAGCATAACCTGATCTGATATGAAAGAGACATTTCCCACTGGACAATATCACTGCAACTCCATATCTGGGGTGGTATACAGTACCATAGGTATATGATGAATTGTTGGCCCGTGTTTGACGATCCTGTATTGCTTAAGTGATTCAATTTTTCGCACCCTCTGATCATTGAAAGCTTGCCAGGGACTGAGAGCCTTTTGATAATAATGTCATCATTAACCACTAAACATCAAACTAAATTATCATATGGTTTTTTCAAAATATTAAAATTCAAACTAAACAACTCATCAATTATCAACAATTATAAAACTCGTGCCATTCTGCAGAATTGCCTGCTTAAGGAATAAGGATGGTCAGGCTATTGATGTCATAACCTATTCAGCAAAAATCACATTTATTGAGTTGCGATATCTTTTCGAAACTTTTCACCGAAAATCAAAGTATTTGCTTCCTAAGGCTATAACGTCGTATCTTAAGAGGACAGGCCGCACGTGACCAATCAGGCAGTTTTGAGAGAAATGGGAAAAGTGAAGTACGTTATTGCTCACGATGATTGAAAAACACAAAAAGCTCAGGCCATTATTCGAAGTTGTCGAAGAATCAATTCCCTGATACTACAGGAAAACGACCAAGAGAAAGGAAGGCCCTGGAAGAAGAGAAACATCATGTTCAAAGAACTTGAGGTCATGTCATAATACGACAAGGTCTGTTCCAACTCGCCAAAAAACCGTCCCAAGAACGCTTTCAGAACTACTCTGTATACGAATTTTGGATCCTACGCACAAATTTTAGGTTTGGCACAGCATCCTGACGGTGAAATGTACGGTTCCTTGCTGGATTGGAACAAAGCTACTTATTGGATGTGTTTCCAGCTACAGTGAACAAAATGAAGATTGCTTTTATCCAAAATGTAAATGCATTATAAGAAGAAGAAATGTTAATGCAAAAAAATTAATAAATGAATGATTATCGAAATATCGGAAAAGGTTGAATCCATTAAAAGCATAAATTTCACCAAAAACTCTCGTACCATGCATTCAATGATTTTATCAAGAAAGATACTTTGCATCGCGTTTCATAATAAATTTGTGTCGCGGATCCATATCCGGCTCGCCTTTGAACGATTTCCTTCCTCGTCGCCTATTTTGGATAGTAGTAAATATATTTTCTTTAGATCTGCTTGTGCACAAATTTGCAACTTCGCACGTAGCCCCATGGCAATAGATAGGATAGGAAACGATTCCGGCCGTTTAGCTTTAATAAACCTCGAAAAAAAAAAACGACCCTTTGATATATAACTACTATAAACTAGAGAACATATCTATATATATAAAACACAGTTATTTTGGTGTGGAAGCGCCTATAACTCGAGAACGGCTGGACTGATTTTTATGATTTTTGCTTTATCCGATTTGTCTTTGTCCATCCGTGGTCCATCCTAACATAATAAATCGAAAAAATCAAAAAACAAATTTTTTTTTATCTATTTTACTTATTTATGAAAAAAACTCACTAAGCCCGCATACGGCGCCATCTCTTATAACCGATACCAAGTTTACCGTCACATTTTCATTGCAAACCATGTGGATTTTATTGTCACACACTTTGCACAAAAACAATTTGAGGAAAGCACTTTATTTTTAATTGTTCTTCACAGTAAAAATGTCCAAAAATAAATAAAATCTGTTTTTTTTTTAAAGATAAAAGTCAAAATGACATTGTGTTGGCAATACAATGTAAAATTGTCAATGCTTTCAAATTTTTTATGTAGAAAAGGCTTGTGTTGCCAACATAGTTACCAAATTTTTGACTTGGGGAATTATCTTTAAATAAAAAACAGACTTTAGAATGACAATGTTTTAATTGTGTATTTTATTTTTTCTATTTTGGTGTCATATCGAAGTCTTTTCGACACTAAAAGTAGTTTCGAAAAGAAGCTCTTTGTGACACTCCTTTTTTACTTATTGGAGGTTGGTGACACTGGCTGACTGATGGCCATCGAACTGTCATTCGCGATTTTATAATAGAAGATTTCTATATTTGGCATGTAATGTTACCAACCTAAATATATGAAATCGAAATATGAGAATAAAATTTCTAAGAAAAATTTGTTTTTTTTAATTAAACAATACCAAAATAGAAAAAATAGTATAAAATATTCGTTTCATAAGACATTTTATCGCGCTCGCCCTTTAGAAAACTCGCCTCCCGCTCGTTTTCTAATATAGGGCTCGTGCGATAAAATGACGTCTTATGAAACTTGTATTTTAATGTACTATTGTTGTTGGTTCGTTCATTCCGAAAGAGCGCGAACTGGTCTCCCTGTCATTTCTTGACGCTTGACCATTGACGTTCTGTGGCTAAGTTCCGTTTCTCCTCTCAGGCATCCCTTGACAGCCGTGTTCCGTGCCGACTGTTCGGAGTGCTCCGTCCGGCTGGTGTCGAGTGGCAGAGAGCCAGGTTATGAGTCCGCCACAACCATTTTGTATACGGCGCAATATATGATACCTAGAACGAAGCTCACCGATGCGCGGTAATTTCCTTGCAGATGCAGTAGAACCATGCTGCTCAGGAACTGGAGATATTTAGAACAAAACTATTCCACTATTCTGATCAGATAGAGTGATGCAGAAATAGTAGATCAGATAGAATAGTGCAGATAGAGTAGAACAGATGGAGTAGTGCAGTGCAGATAGAGTGATACAGGGCTGCGCTGTAGATTTTTTTTTGTTTTCTTTACATTCTTTGAACATTCCTGTGCCTGAGTTTATTTATTTGGTGGTACACTTCACAAGAAAAATGCCCACAAGCTGCCTTGAAAGGGATGATGTTAAATTTTAATTTCAGGTGACTTCTGATCTAGAGAGTAAACATTAATATTCTTCAACCAAAGCCAAATTCACCATCGGAAAAAAAACTGAATTTAATTCAGCTAATAGATGCGTTAACACAACATTTAATAGGTATTTAATAATTCAGAGGCGCTACAAAGTTCGCCGGGTCAGCTAGTTAAAATATAATTGTCGTTTTATGCCCACTTGCACCGTAAGTTAAACAGAGGTTTAAATTTTAACAAACGTTTATTTTTCGTAACTGACTTGCACCGCAAGTTATTCCTCATTTAAGTACCTCTAAACTGCTGTTAAAATAAACCCCCAATTTCGGTGGTTTGAAATCACAGTTAACGATTTTTGGGTCTAATGACTTAGGTATAGGTCCAAACAAAAACGGCATTTCTATTTTTTTTTGAGAAGGAATCAAATCAAATAGAAACGTTTAAGCTATAAATAAAATATAAATGCGCAAAATGCATATTTTCCATCAAAAAATTATATTCAAAATTGACGATTTGCGGGTCAATGACGATTTGACATCTTTCGAAAATCAACTACGAAAATTCCCTACCTACTTCACATAAATTGGTCGATATAATCCACAAGAAAAGGAGACTGCATTACTCCTAACCTCCTCAAAGTACCTAAGGTATTCCTTGAATGACGACCAATAACCTTCAACGGGGTTGGTACGAACACAAGTACCTACAAGCTCCAATAAGTTATGGGATCTTGAAATTTAAATTATTTTCGAATCTCGGATTTCTCGCTCCGTTCATCAAACCACAAAGAGAAGATTCTCGGAAATGTAAATCCACCAAAAACGTGAAAAATCTTTTGCAAATATAACATCTTGTTTTTAATTATTTTTGAGTCTCCGATTGCTCGCTCCGCTCGCCAAATCTCAAAGGGAAGATCTTCGGAAACGTAAATCTACCAAAAAAAAACAGAAAACATTTTTTTAAAAACACTTTCTTGAATTTTAAATTATGTGTGTTTGTAACTAAAACCTACCAAAACCTTTTCATATCGTATATAAGTGAAATGCCTGCGGAAATATTCCATAGAATAGAAATTGGGGCCTAAAGTCACTAGAACATAGACTTTGGCTAGAACCTTAGACCCCTTTTTAAGCACTCCTTCGACCAGTAGCTTGTTACAGGGAAAGTGGAATCAAATTCTTTGGTAATTTTGTCCCATGCAGCACTTTTTTCTTGATTTGTCGCCGTATCTGGCTCTTTATTTTCGATGGTGCCTTTGTATCTGGTCACTATATTGATAAAATTTCATTTTCCGAAAAGTTTGAGGATCCATCCTTTTTTTTTCTCCCTTTTCCTGCATAATAAAAAATGGAAAAATTGAAAGGAATATTGAAAGAAGCCTAATTGCCACCATTACAGGGAAAATATTTGCGTCAGAAATGAGTGTGAAGTTAACTTGTACTCTATGACAAGTACCAATGTTCTCGATTTTTAGTAAAATTCCCTAGATCCCTAGTAAAATTTTGAACCTTACCTGAAAAATCATGGTGCAAAGCTTTAGAAATTAATCTGCTCTTAAATTTTAACTTGTCTGTTAATTAAACTGATCAGTTAGACAAAACGGTGCAAGCGGGCATTATAGACAACTGGCGATTTGCTTTCCTTAAGTGCTATGCACATTGCTCAACGCTGCAAATGGCGTTTTCTAGCTCTCTAATTACAAATTTGCATACAAAAAAAGGATGTAGTTACGAAAGATTTCATCGACCAACAAACTTTCTCGAAATTCATTTTTAAATTAAATTTGGGTTTCAATTAATTAGGTATATTATTCCCGAGTCGTCATTAACATTTTTTTTGATGTCTACAAATATATTAATATTAAAGTGTTATTAATGAGGTCAAACTTGTGGGTTCTCGTATCCAGCATTCTAGCAAACAATTTGCCAGCAATTTCCGGGAGTCTGGCTATTTTTTATCAAGCGCATATGGGTAGGCAACAATTAAATAACAAATATAATCAGCCGGATGTTACAGCATTGTGCCTAGATATCAAAATTTAATACACCGTGGTCTAATAATATGATTATGCATTTTTATTTTAGTTGTTGGTTACCATGTTATCAAATGCCACCCCGTTCGTCGAGGTCAACGGTACCCTCAGGAGATGAAACACTTAGTCCTAGCTCTGTATATGTTGTTACTTTTGTACCTACCCGTTGTGCCATTTGCGAGCGGCCAGCGCTTAAATCCACCCAGGAGTAGTTATCATTCCGAAGATGAAGACGATGACCAACCACTTGTACCAGAAGAGGATCATCGGGAAGAGATCGTGCAAGCCAATACTACAGATGGTAATAAAATATCATCATTTTAATATAATTATTCTACCTTTTTTTTTCTTTAGAAAAAGGCCTGTATGTTGGTGCACCCTGCGAATTTACTTGCAGCTCGAGGTTGCAGCATGTCTACTGTAATCCGATCACCACCATGTGCGAATGTGAGAAAAAGTATCCAGTCAAACTCAATAATCCATATTCAGGATGTAGTAAACGTAAGTTTATTCTTATTAGAACTATTCCTAATATTGTCTATTCTTCTATTCATATTGTTTACGTGGAACATCCAGCCCATTATTTCCGAGAAAACAGTCCACTCCAAATCATCACAATCATAGAGGTTAGATCTCGAGATAGTTCTCAGTTTTTAGATATTGTTCAAAATCGATCCTTACTATTTCTAATTCAGTTCTAGAGTAGAAATCAAACGAGAAGACGCCACACGCGTTATCGTTTGTCTCACTTTAAATGGGAGGGCCTCAGAGAAAAGGAAATCTGTTTTCTTTGTCAGCGCTAACGACAGTGGCTTCTTCTCGTTTGATTTTTACTCTAGTACCATCTTGCAACAGCGCCAGTGCGTCTATGTAACATTGCTCTTATTAGTGGAGATTGTATATTGTTATGGTGGGGTGTTTAGGTTATGCCCGGTCGGTTACTCTTTTGAGATTAGTTCCAAGTGAGTTTCTGATTCAAGGTGACTCCCAGGTATTTGACCTCACTTGCGAAATTGATTTGTATCCCATTTAAGGTTGGGGCTGTTAGATTTAGCCTCTTTTTTGTCGCCAATTATGGTTTTGTTGGGGTTGACGCTTAAACCTTTCTGTAGACACCATCTGATATTGCATGAGGTCACTATTGATCCTATCATGCTTACCCCTAATGATGACTGCGAGGTCGTCAGCATATCCTAGGACTGTGATCCCTTGGGCGCTTAGCGCGTTGAGGATTTCATCTACTACCAGTGACCACAACAGTGGGGACAATACCCCCCAGAGTCACTTCTAAAGGTTGTTTTGATTTTCCTATTCCCAAGCTTGGCTTCAATCCGTGCAATTGTAGTTTCATCAAGGCCCTTAGTTCTAGCCGCTCTTGTACTCTTCTCATGGATTCATGTGAGGTGGTATCGAAGGCTCCCTCCATAGCAATCAATGCACAAAGAGCGGTTTCTTGATTAGAGTGTGCCTTTTCAATCTTAGTGACAAGTCTGTGTAGGGCTGTCTCAGTTGATTTACCTGGCTGATAGGCAAATTGATTCTTTTGGAGCGAGCTTTCCGTTACTGATTTGAAGCTCAATGATTTTCTCCATGGTTTTCAGCAGAAAGGAGGTTAGGCTAATTGGTCTGAATGACTTAGGCTTTTATATAGGAGACCTACCCGCTAACTGGTGGAAATGTAGCCTAGTAGGTAGCTAGCTTTGAACATTATTGTTAGATGAGGTGCTAGTTCTTCCAGGCTTTGTTGTAAGAGGGCGGGAAAGATTCCATCTTCACCTTGTGATTTGTACGGCTGGAAGCTGTTTATAGTCCATTTGATCTTTTTTCATTGAATATCCTTCTGGCTAGGCATTTAGTGCGGTTGGTCAGTCGCGGAACGCCTTTTACCACCACAGCTCTTTTTCCATTAGGTTTCCACTCGATACACTCTGTGAAGTGTGATTGCAGAAGCAGTTTTACACTATCTAGTCTACTTTCGGTATAGCTACCATAAGATCTCTGAAGGCGCCCGATATTGTTTGAGTGATCTTTTGCTAGGATTTTCTGGAGGCGGATTATCTGAGGGACGTCGATCATCTCCTCGCAGAATCTCCTCCAGGATTCTCTTTCAGATCTTCTCAATTCTTTGTTGTATTCTGTGGCCTCTTTTGTATTCGCTTCAGTCGTTGGTCCGTTTAGCCCTATTGAATAATTTTCTTGTCTCAGTATACTTAAGAAGCTGAGTGTATTCCTCTTCACTACCCGTTGCTTCACAGGACAACTACTGTTCTCATACGTTGTAAATATGAGATACTATATTTCAATTTCAATATCAAAATAAGCTTTATTGTCCAAATTCCAGAGAAATTATTGACATAGCAATTTTTTCAATACTTAGTAATTCTTAATTACAAATTAGGCACTATGAAGGCCACAAAAATTATAAGATTAATCCAAAAAAAAAAAAAAAAAATAAATTAATTAAATACTATGCTTACATAACAAACAGTAACTACGAATCTTATGAAAATAAAATTTATAAAACAAACTAGAATAATAAAGAAACAATGTAAAATATACACACAAAAAAAAAAATTTAAACAGACAGAAATTAACACAAAAATAGAAGTCTGATAAAAATTATCATAGGCAGAAAAAGTTTAAAAAAATAAAAATAAATAAAAGATGAACTATAAATACAAAAAATTTTGCGCAATTATTCAGAAAACAAAAACAATCATTGATAAAATCAGTCAGATAAAAAAAGAGTAGAACAAAAAATTATCATATAAACTAGACTAGGAATAGAATTCTTGTAGGCTGTAGTATGCCTTAACTAGAAGGAGACTTTTTAGGTTACGACGAAAAGCAGAATAGTCATTTGTTTTTTTTTATTTCAGTAGGAAGTTCATTAAAGACTTTAACACTCCCGTAGATCACATAGTTCTTTGTAAGAGCATGTTTGAGTATAGCTAAAGCCAAGTTGTTTTGTCTAAGATTATAGTTGGATTCTCTTTCAAAGCTTTGGAAATTTTTGAATATTGAACAGGCTGTTTCTAATATGAAAATGCACGGAACTGTTAAAATTTCGTACTTAATGAAAAGTGGTTTACAGCTATCTCTGCATTCCGCCCAGCACAAATATCTTATGGCTTTTTTGTAAGATGAAAGCAGATTGAATTGAGCTTTTCGTTGAATAACCCCGAAAAGCATCGCCATAGCGAAGATGAGATTCAACAAGAGCATGGTAAGCAGTTTTCGCCGAAACCATCCCCAGCTCCTGTGCACCCGTTTTGACCATCTAACTGCCCCTTGCAAGTTTTTTATTTAGCATGTCTATGTGATAGTCAAATTTGAGCTTTGCATATGGATTCCAAGAAATTTCACAACATCTTTCTCTTCCAGGATGTTATCGTTAAGTGCAATTCAGACAGTTTGCATCACACCACTCTTTAACCTTCCCCAAATGTTGCCCTATCATATGTGCTAACGCATCTTGATTCGTATGTTTCCAGAGTATTGTAGTATCATCTGCGAAGATTACAAATATTCCTGATATGGATAACTTGGCCAGGTCGTTTACGTATAGCAAAAAAAGAACAGGACCGAGAAATGACCCTTGTGGGACACCATTTTCAAGTCTCAGAGTTCTCACAATTTGATGTTCTTATGAACTAACTTCTTTCTGTCAGGTATGACTCAAACCATTTGAGTTCTCTTCCCGTGATACCATAATGACTCATTTTGCGAAGCAGTATCCGGTGATTCACGCAATCAAATGCTTTGGAAAAGTCACAGAGCACCGCGGCCGCCTTTTCGCAATCATTGAGGCTGAAGAAAAGCTTTTCTAAAAATGAGAAAATGGCGTCCTGGGTTCCCTTTCCTTCCTGAAACCCAAATTGTTCTGGTGTTATAATATCTTTGTTGCGAAGATATTCAACCACTCTAGTTTTAACTATCTTTTCTATGATTTTCGAAAGTGTTGTCAACAACAAAATTGGACGGTAATTGGATGGATCCTGTCATCTCCACTTTTAAATAATGGAACAACAACAGCCAACTTCAAAGTGTCTGGAAATTCACGTGCGATAAAGGAATCGTTAATGCAAGTCACAAGTGCCATGAGAGCTTCTTCTGGCAGATTTTAAAATATATTTAGTGACAAGTTGTCAACACCTAAGGAATTTTGTTTTTAATGATATTGAAGAATTTTCTAAATTATGTTATATTTGTAGGAAAAGTTGTCTGTCGGTATCAAAGGTGGTAGAAAGCTTGGCGGGTCTTTATTTGCCTTCAGGTTACTTGTTAATTTATCGGCGATTGTACAGTAAAACTGATTTAGTTCTGATGACGTAATATTTAGTTTGCTTGTTGTCTTTTCTGGTTTCCCTCGCATTTCATTGATAATTTTCCAGTATTCTCTGTGAGAGTTACCTGCCTTGTTGATCCGTGCATGATAGTATTTTTTTTTTCGCTGTGTGTATACTTGAATTCACGATAGAGTTTGAATTTTGACCATTATTTTCACCAGTTGAAAGTAAATAAAATCCCCAGATCCGTCCCTTTTTCTGTCAACTATCAAATAGGGATACATGACATTTCGATTTGACATATAAAAATATCAGATCCGGGTCTTTGAATTTTGAATTTTTGCGTGAAAGCGTTACAGTTTTTTGCCGTTTTCTACATAATTTTTTGATTTGTTATTTATATTCGCAAACGGTTTTTTGGTTTTTTATGTAGTGTTCAGTGCTTTTGTGTCTCGATGTTGCGTTTCAAACCTCTGGTTCTACTTCGGATTTAAGTGTTTACCCTTTTTTATGTGTTTACTTTGGACTCTAATTTTTGGATTTTAGGATTTTCATAACTTAACTTCCTTTAAAGAAATTGGATTTTTTTTTATTCTGAAATGTATATCACTTTTCTAAATACGACCCTGTCGTTTATACCAGCTGACGGAATCGAAGCGCTAGCGCATGCTGGCAACCTGAAGAAAAAGTTACTAGAAATGAAAACGCGAATTGTCAACTTCATTTTCTATCGCGATTTCAACTATACCTATCACTTTTTTATATATGCTACGATTTAGATTAAAACTAATCTGAGTTTGCAAACTTTCGTATTATATGTAAAGACTAATTTTTAGCCCGAAGTTCCAATTCCATTTGTGATCCACCGTTTTTTAGATTTCATTTTCAGTTTTCTTAAGGAAAAACTTTTATCAAAAATAGTCATAACTGTTTTTTGAAAACACTCTATAGGCTTGGCTTAGTTTTGGATAATTTCCCAGTTGATGGTGTTCGGCAAATATCGAAATGTCTCAAAGTTTGTAGTACTAAAAATTCTACCCTTCTTTACAATTTTTTTCTGCTTTCTGTGTTGTAGTACTAATTCGGCCGTAAGGGCTTCATGATCAGAAATTCCAGAAGGAACTTAGATAACTTTGTTCGATATTGCTACAAATGTAATCAAAGTTTTTGCTGTATAACTAGTTATCCGTGTTAGCTTGTTCACGAATACCT